ATAAACTTTTGAACAATAATAGAGACAGAAGCAGAGCTGCCTCTAACAGATTGTCAAACCGCAGCGGGAAGGCCGGGGAGGGTTGGGGTGCAGGAGGGAGGGGGGTAAGAGATCAACCAAAGGACTTGTATGCATGCATATAAGCATAACCAATGGACATAAGACACTGGGGGCTAGGGGAGTCCAGGGGACTGTCAAGGGCAGGGGGGAAAAAAAAGGACACGTAATACGCTTTGTAATACTTTAAGCAATAAAAAAAATATAATAAAATAAACAAAGTAAAGTGCTTTGGGCTCCAAAGGCACATACAAGGAAGAGTGCCAAGTATATTTTAAAGAGATTCACAATCTTATTAATTTCCTAGGGCTACTTAAACAGCAGGTACTTGTTGTCTCCCAGTTCTGAGGGCTGTGAATCTGAGATGGAGGTGAGGCAGGGTCGGTTCCTTCTGAGAGGTGGGAGAAAGAACCGGTCCCACGCCTCTCCCTCACCTTCTGTGGTTGGCTGGCCATCATGGGCGCTCCTTGGCTTGCAGAAGCTTCTGCTCCCTGCCTTCACCTTCCCATGGAGTCCCTCTGGTTTGTGTCCATCTCCAAATTTCCCTTTTTAGAAGGATGCTAGTCCCTCACTCTTCTCCTATCTGACCTCATCTTAACTGATCACACCTGCAACAACTCTATGTCTAAGTAAGATCCGATCTGAGTTAGTGGGGATTAGGACCTCAGCCTAAGCATTCGGAGGGGACACAGTACAACTCATAACAAGAATTATTGAAACAGCTGAATGACTCAGGTTGTTTATTTTAGAAGATAACCAAAATACTTTTAGTCATGACTCATACTACTGAGAGGCATTGTGTTTGGATATTATCATTTGAAGCATAGTACATTTTGGCTTTGAATAAAAAAGAATATCCCAGGTCTTGTATATTGAACAAAGAATTGTTGGGTCAGTGTCGCCGAGTTCCTCGGTGGTTGTGCTGTATCCTGTGCTCTGGGTGAAAGCTGGATATTGGCTGGTGTCTGTAGCAGGGATGGCGAGCTAACAAGTGCAACAGACAAAGTCCTGCTTGTTCCATAAAACAGAAGCAGTGCTGAACATTTCTAAGATAATATTAAACGCAGGCATAAATGTGGACATTCAAACACATTATACCACCACTAGATTTAAACACACACACACAGGTGATTACAGTATAGGTACAAGTGTAAACATGTGAACTGAAACCTATGAACTTACCCTGTGTAAACTTCATTCATTTGTTCGATTTTAGGAGTGGCAACTCAGTATGGGAAATTATTGGACTATACCCCCATGTATAGTAATATTTACTTTCTTCAGTGATTAATACTGATAATATGATTATAACTAATACTAGAGGCCTGGTGCACGAATTCATGCATGGGTGGGATCCCTAGACCTGGCCTGTGATCAGGGCCATTCAGGGCCATCTCGCCCAGTCCCAGTTGGGGCTGGGCTGATCAGGGCCTGCTGGCAGCGGGGAGAGACGGGTAGGGACTGAGGGAGGTTGGCCGGCCTCAGGGACTGAGGGAGGTTGGCCGGTCAATATATATATTGACCATGAGAATAGCAAAACGTGAATCAATTTTCCAGATGTTCCCACAAAGTCTTTATTTCAGTTTTACTATATTTAGTTGAAAAGCATGCAGTTAACATTTAATAAAATTTTACTGTAAAAATACAATTTAATTTTACTAGCTTATCTTAATGATCTCCACTAGTAATATTTATAATGGGATTCTTTACTTTTAGGATGTCAATAATTTCTTGTTCCATGGATTTTAAGCTGGAAAAAAGCTACACTGTTGTGCCTGGGCAAATTTGATGGCCCAGATTATTCAAAAAGTTTTTCATATTTTCAGTAGCAAGCTGGCATTGTCAGTTATGAGATATTTCTTTAGACATGATGTCAGAGTAAAAGCTGGCATTGTCAGTTATGAGATATTTCTTTACACAGAATTCCAGCAGAGATGGAGGTTCATGATGTCAGAGTAGTCTGCTTTTGCACTTCTAATTAATAACAGATGTTGATACTGGTAATGTTACAGTGCATCATTATATGCATAGTTGACTTGCCAATGTGAATAACTGAGTAGCTTTATGGCACAAGTACAATTAAGTCCATCATTAAAAAGAAGACTTAATTCCACTTTGCCCCGGAATGCATGTTTCCTAATTGCAGAGTGCCCAGGGATCATCCACCTGGAAGATGAGGGATCTAGAAAGAAGAACAAGTGACAGAGGGACAGTTGGAGGTCTTTGGAATGTTCATTCTGAAGTAGTGAGTACTAAAGGGAGGTATTTCAGATGTCTTCAGGTATTTCAAAGTTCATCCGTCAGAACAGGAACTGGACTTACCCGTTGTTGCTCCCAGGGCCAGAGTCACAGGAAGGAAATTTTAAGTCAGTAGAAGGAAGAGCTTGTTCATCAAAATCTGCCCAATTGTGATACAGGTTCCCTTGTAAAATAGTGAGTGTCTTATCGCAAAAAAATATTAAAGTCAAGGTCATTGGTGTTAGAATGGGTTTTTAAATTAAGAGTGAATCTGGACTGGATGAACTTCAAGGTCCCTTTTATCTTTCATATTCTGTAAGCTCAGAGATAAGAACCGACTTTCTTCCTGCTTTTTCTGTTCAGAGGTCTGAAATCAAGGAAATAAATCATTCTCACCCATCTGGTGGCCTTCTTGGTCCCTGACCCAATAATATTTTATGTCACATTTAAAACCTGTGAAAAATGACAGAGCAGAAATAGAGCAATAGTTGCACATTTTAGGAACAATTTCATCAGAGTTATTGTTTGGTCTGGCACACAACTCCTTAAATATCTGCATTGAGTAAAACACATGTCTAAAAGTATACATTT